TCACCCAGGTGCCAAGGAAACAGATCATCTTTATTAAATAAAATATTATGAACTATAAGCTATAATAGCAGTAACATGGTTATTTTGCATTTTTAAGGTCCCCTTTATTTTCTTTTTTTTTATAAGTACATTTTTTTTAAAGATTTTATTTGAGGGGTGCCTGGGTGGCTCAGTCGTTAAGCATCTGCCTTCGGCTCAGGTCATGATCCTGGGGTCCTGGGATCGAGCCCCGCATTGGGCTCCCTGCTCAGCAGGAAGCCTGCTTCTCCCTCTTCCACTCCCCCTGCTTGTGTTCCCTCTCTCACTGTGTCTCTGTCAAATAAATAAATGAAATCTTAAAAAGAAAAAAAAAGATTTTATTTGAGAGAGAGAGGGAGTGAGAGAGCAGGGGGAGGAGCAGAGAGAGAGGGAGAAGTAGATTCCCTGCTGAGCAGGAGCCCCAACAAGGGGCTCAATCCCAGGATCCTGGGATCATGACCTGAGCCAAAGGCAGACGTTTAACCCACTGAACCACCCAGGGGCCCCTAGGTCCACTTTATTTTCAAATTAAGGATTCTAATATATTTGATTATCAATATGATCATGTTTTGCTTTTAATAACTTTCAAGCTGTTACTTCAAGAGAAAATATCACATCCTTGAAGGCAAGACGATTACTTTTCTATCCCTAGAGCTTAGCACAATGTTTGGCATAAACTGATGCTAAATAAATGTTTTCTGAATTCACACCTCATTTTTAGCAATGTATATAAAATATTGAAGTTTTATTAAAACTAACGACTTGTTTTCTCTACTTCTCCAAAATGAGCTCTTGAGCACAATCAAAAACAGTCTCAAAACAAAGGGATCCACAATGTGTGGAACAAAGGTCCACAATTCCATGCTCACCTCCACCAGGTTCCTTGCCTGTTCCCAGCATGGTAGTTATCACTAGCAGATTCCTAATCACCCTCGCCCCTACAGCAACCATTCTAAAGCTTCTTCACTTTCAAATTCCCAATACCTCTCTCCACTTCCTCACTCTTTGAGGTGCCTTGCTCTATTTTTTTTCTTGTAACACTGAAACCCATGATTTCCCTCTTCTTCACATCAACATTTCTGGTTGACCCTGCTCTTGTTTGGTTTTTCAAAGGACACAATCTTCCTTCTTTTCATCTGCATTCTCTGCTACCAATTCTACTCTAGTAGAACCAGTCTGTCTCCTCACCTTCCTCCCTGCCCTCTGGGCCTTATGTGACTCAGGCTTTTCTCCACTCACTCCTATTCCCAGCCTTGACTGCCAGAAATGGCCTCTTCCATTCGTTTCCATATTCAAACTATACCAAACTCAAATTACTCTAGGAAGTACAGACCAATCCAGTTTGCATTAGTTCTTTCTTCTCTCAGCCCCAAAGCACTGAAGGTGTGTAATATTTACTTCCCAATTAATTCCTTCCTGCTTGTGGATATGTCTTATACTACAACTCTTTTTATCTGCATCTTTTCCCCCCAAACTATATTTACAAGCTATTTTAAGGCAAGGTCTGTCTTCTACCTCACTGTACGAGTCTTCTGTTTACAATATACATTCCAATATTTTTTGATAATGGACTGGTAGTAAGTTTGCTCAAAAATTAACTTTCTTATGACTCCCACAATATTCATCATTATCCTGAATATACTGACCCTTTCACATTGTATATTTAATGTATGCACTTTTTTTTTTACCCTTTGTTCACATAAGCCTTATGTAATTTAAAGCAAAGCCTTCTCTTCCGGTAGGATTTTCTCTATTTAACTTACTTTGTAATGGTAATAAGCAGTCATCCCAAACTGGTGATTCTGGGGAGGATGACAGTTTAAAATGTGATTGAAAGTTCCACAGATAGGATACTGAGAATCTAATACAAAAATACGAAGTCACCTGCAAAAATGTGTATTTATGCTGCATTTTTCAGGGGAGCAAATCCGTATTTTCATCAGATTTTTTTCCCTCCTTAGGACTTCAAAATTAAGAATCACCAGTTTCTTCTGGGGCACCTGGGTGGCTCAGTCAAGTTAGATGTCCAAGTGTCTTAATTTCAGATCCGGTCATGATCTCAGGGTCGTGCGCTGGAGCCCTGCATGGGGCTCTGTGCTGGGCATGGAGCCTGCTTAAGATTCTCTCTCTCCCTCTTCCTCTGCCCCCCACCCATGCTTGTGCTCTCTCTCAAAAAAAAAGATTCACCAGCTTCTTCAAAAAGTTAAACATGGAATTATCTTATAACCTAGCAATTCCAATTTTATATATATGCCCAAGAAAACTGAAAACACATGTTAACACAAAAACATGTACATGAATGCTCACAGCAGCATTACTCATAATAGCCAAAAAGTGCAAACAACTCAAATGCCATCAACTGATAAATGGATAAACAATGTGGTATTACCATACCATGGGATATCACTAGGCCTTAAGAAGGAATGAAGTATTGATAAATGCTAAAACACAGATGAACCTTGAAAATATTATGCAATGTGAAAGAAGCCAGACCCAAAAAGCCCCATATTACATGATTCCATTTGTATGGAACATCCAGAGTAGGCAAATATCCACAGAGACAGAGTAGATTAGTGACTGCCAGAGGCTGGGGAGAGGGTCTAATTGGGAGTGACTACTAATAGATAACAGGTTTCTCAGTGTGATGGAAATGCTCTGGAATTACAGTGGTAATGGCTGCACAACTTTGTGAACATACTAAAAACCAATGAACTGTATACGTTAAAAGGGTGAATTTATGGAAAGTGAATACTAAATCTAAAAAAACCTCTCCTTTTACCCAGCTGCATGCTTGATATCTTTTGCATCATCTTTCCAAATCTAAACTCTATGCATTCACTCATTACTCCCAACCACCTCCTTTTCTTCAGGTTTCTAATTTACATGTAGTTTCTCAGGTTGGAAAATTACAGAGCTCTCTAAGTTCTTTTCTCTCAGTTCAACATCCATCAGTCACCAATGCCAGGCCTTTCTTTAATAATAAAAATGGTTGCCACTAATGAATATGTAATTCCTGCCAAACACTATGCTAGATGATCCCCAATTATCTTTAACTCTTACACTAATCATGCATTTTACAGAAGACAAAATTGAGGCTTAAAGGGTAAGTACCTGTTCTTTAGTCTTTCTCCCTCCCATCTATCCTCCTGATCCTCCTAAAATCAAACCTGATCATGTTACTCCCTTACCTAAAGCTCTTTAAAGGCCTCCTACTGTCATAAAGTCCAGACTCCTTAACTTGGTATAAGGTGCCCTTCACGATCCCACTTCCCTCACCACTTCTAATACCCGCTTCTTTCGGTTCCTGGACCATGCCATGCTCTTTCTCCTCCTGCCTTTGGACTTGGCACAGAGTTCCCTTATTCATTCACTCAACAAATATGTACTAAGTGTCCACTATGTGCCTGGGCTTGGGCCATATGGTGAATAAAACAGATATAGGTCCTGCCCTTAAGGCACTTAAGGTCAAATGGAGGAAACAATAATAAACAAGTAATTTCAGATTGTAATAAGTGAAATGAAGGAAGCAGGAACAATAGATGTTAGGAGTCAGGGGAAAACTAAAACGACTGTTTTAGATAGGTTGCACTTAGAATAAAATTTTTTTGCTGAATGGAGAAGGGATTGGAGGGGCACAAGATAAAAAACAGGATCCCGTGGCCTTAAGATATAGCAGTGGTTTAGGTGAGAAATGTGGATCATCTGGACAAGGGTCTGATAGTGAAGGTGGGGAAAAGTAGACAAATTAGATGCAGAACTGACCTGACTTGCAGTCACCCACTGAAAGTGAGAAAGAGATGAAGAGAGGATATAGAGAGTCTGCGGAATTGTCATGGGGGGTAGTAAGCTTACCACAGAAATAGAATCAGAGGATCTCAGGCCCATGCTGAATGAATATTCAAGAGGTTGATCATTTTCATTTTATACTGTCATCAGTTTGCCCAGGACTTTTTCCAGAAAAATTCAGCCATGTAAGTGCAGGTGTAAAGAGAACAAAAGGTTGAGTTCATCAAGAGTATGAGTTCTGCCAGAAGAATAAAAGGAAGGGAAGGACAAGGGAATGGTGCATCTTCAGAGGAGAGATCATGACAAAATAGAGCATGCATTATAAACTGGATAAGGGGGTACAGATGTACAGAAAATGTAAGAATCAATGGATGGGAAGTATAGATGAAGTTCAAGAATTGTATCCTAGGGGTGCCTGGGTGGCTCAGTTGTTAAGTGTCTGCCTTTGGTCCTGGGATGGAGTCCCGCATCAGGATCCCTGCTCAGTGGGAAGCCTGCTTCTCCCTCTCCCACTCCCCCTGCTTGTGTTCCCTCTCTCGCTGTGTCTCTCTCTGTCAAATAAATAAATAAAATCTTAAAAAAAAAAAAAAAGAATTGTATCCTTGGGGTACATAAGGGAGTTTATAAGGACAAGAGACTGGTCAGACAGGACAAAATTCTAATTGTTTCCTCCGCTTGGATTGGTCATTTCCTGCTCTAGGTAAACATGAGTATTTGATCTCCAATCACAGCCATCCTGTTTTTCTGCTCCCTGTCTTCCCACAACTCCCCCGCACTACCACCTAAGTTTGTCACGATCTCATTCAATCTTAAAGACCCACCTCCAACTACTCCTTCCTCGAAGCATTTATGTTTTCCCCACAGGGATCTCTCCTCCTGGTGACAGCCTTCACCCAGTGTGTACTGCTAGTATTATTCATGTTATCAGGTATTAATCATTCTTTTCCTTTCTAGGCCCTTTTACTCAACTGGAAAAAAAGCATTATTATAAACAATCAGAAGTCTCTAGATTCTCCAGTAGCAGTACCCAGAACTGTGCCAGGCACGGAGCAATCACTCAATAAAGGCTAACAGAGATCTCTGGCACAAGGGCCCCCCCAACCTCACTGGTTACCTAAGGCAGGGTTCCACCAAAATCTAACAAAAGCTCATAATCTCTGTTCATAGAAGTCCCAGTCCCAGATATTTCCATTTACCTCAAGAGTGGGCTCCACTTTCACAGATTTAATTTTAATCCATTCAAACCACCCTCATGCGTGAATCAGCCCTGGCAGGATGTGGGGATACAGGGCCTGCACGATGACTGGAAATCTGGATGCCTCAATTTGAGAAAAGCCACGTTCACTAAAAAATAATAATTTCTTCACAGTTTAATGCAGTGCCGGAGAGACGTGAAATAAGAGCTAGACCAACAGGCCACAGGAGAAGTGCCAAGAATGAGCTGGCACAGGGTTGTACTCATGATCTGACTTCAGCCTGGCGCCTACCTTCCACCTGTCCAGCTCCAGCTTCGGGGGCCGTTTCAGGGGTCGTCCCCGGGGTTGCTGCCATGGCTAGCTCCGCCCCAACCCAAAAGTGGAGTGGAGTGGGAGTGGGTTCAGAGGACCGCCAAAAACCGGGCTCTGGAGTCGCAGGACAGGAAGGAGCCGCGCTAGCAACTCCAAGGCTCCCCCGGAAGCACCGCTCACGCGGCAGTCACGTGACGGGCGCTGGGCGGGGCCACGCAGGTTTGTTTTGATTCCCAGGTTGTTGAAATGTCAGCACGTGGTCTCGGCTGTAGCGCTTTGTATCTCCCCCAGAGTTTAGCCTTCGTTCTTTGTAGTCTTTTCTTGGATTAGTTTCTGCTCCCCGTCTTTTTTAGTCAGGTCCTTCCTATCTGCCTTGCCGCTTTCCTACACCCAACAGTATTGGAGTTTTAGGGGATGGTTTGCAGTTCTGTGGGGCTCGGAGCAGTGGAATGGGGGCTCCGCCTCCGCCTTACTCTGCAGACGCTCTTACCAGGAGAGCTAACGCTTCTCTTCCACCTTTCTTGCCCTTCTGGCAGCAACATGACTCCATCTGTTTTTTGTGGCTTCTGGGGAATACGAACTTCAGGCAAACGTCCTTTAATTGCTCTCTCCGTGACTCATTTCCCGACCCACACAAGCCAAATCGCTTGACCTAGGGTTTCAAGGACACTAATCGACAACTGTCGGGCTTCTGGATTTGTATAATGAAATAAACAACCGGCTGCTTGATCAAGAGATCAACCCCCACCCTTCTCACTTTTCGTCTGGTCAAAATTGTAATAACTGGAGATGAATCTAAGTCATTAGGGGCAGAAATCTCTTAAGTCTTAATCAACATATCTTTATTGCTAGCCTATTAGTGACAGGCAACGAGTAGAAAGATATCTATATCTTTTTAAATTACATATGAATGTAATTGGCTAGTTTATAATCTCATTGGGTATGTAAGACAAAGGGTAACTGAAAAAACTAGGCAGTACTTACTGTCTGTAAAAAAGAAATTATTTTCAAAGGGCAAATCCAACAGCTCAATCTTACCCTATCTCCCCCTTTAATTTCTAAAGTTAGAAATCCAACAAAAATAATAAATCCAATATAGAAGCAAGCAATAGCTTAAGTGACCGGAGGTATCCGAGTTGTTTATCCGACACGTGATGTAAACTTAGGCACTTCCTCCAGCAATCCCAGGTTCCTTGCCCAACCTCCTCTTAACACAGCCTTTCTGGGAGTTTCCTTTTCCCCGGCTCAGCCGCGCTCCTCCCGCCTTTTGGTTTCTCCTTGTCCTCCCTCAGGGACGGGGGTCTTCACGCCCTCTACCGCCTCAGTTTATGCTCCAGTGCCCGCGAGGGGACTGCCCCAGAGCGGTACCCCGGCCTCCCGTCCCCGCCCGCGGCACCTGCCCCGCCTTCCAGCCCCTGGCCGGCTCGCGCGGCGCAGGCGCACCGGGCGCGGCTCAGAGGCCGAGGGCGAACGCAGCCTCTTCTGCCTCCGCCTCCTGCGGCCGCATCCGCGCGGGGCAGGTCGGCGGCCCCCCGGACCGCGCTGGGCAGAGGCCCCGCGGGCCGCGCGTCGCCATGGGCGCGGGCTGGAGCAGCGAGGAGGAGCGGCAGCCACTGCTGGGGCCCGGGCTCGGGCCTGCGCCGGGGGCTGTCTGGAGAAGCCGGGAAGCGGCGGCGGCGGCGCTGCCCGCGGCGGCCCCGGGTCCCGGGCGGGTGTACGGGCGCCGCTGGCTGGTGCTGCTGCTCTTCTCGCTGCTGGGCTTCGCGCAGGGCCTGGTCTGGAACACCTGGGGCCCCATCCAGAACTCGGCGCGCCAGGCCTATGGCTTCTCCAGCTGGGACATCGCGCTGCTCGTGCTGTGGGGACCCATCGGCTTCCTGCCCTGCTTCGCGTTCATGTGGCTCCTGGACAAGAGAGGTGAGGAGGTCCGGGCAGCGCCGGCCGGCGCGGTCGCTCCGGGGAGAGCCAGAGCCCGCCAGCCGCCGCCCTCGGCTTCGTCTTAAGGGTTATGTGAGGTGACCGAGTGTTGCTGGTATCCCATTCCTGACCAGGAACCCTCCGTCCCTAAAGCGACAAATATGGGGAGGCTTCTTTGCAGATACTGTATTTATGTTTACATCAAGGCCCATTACGCAACAGCAGAGATTAAGTGATCTCTAAATGTTCATGTTTTTGCACAGTGTGGACATCAGAGCATTCCTGTGCACGTGCTATACGTTTTTTCACACCTGACCAAAATGACTGATGCTTTGACTTCAAAGGGATTTGAGAATGTTGAGGGTGAAAGGTCAGAAAATAGACTGATGATGCCCAGATACAAGGAAGTATTTGGCTTTGCATAATAGATGACTCCAGCCCAGGGCTTTTGGGAAACTCCGATCTGAGTGCTTTGATTTCTCTAAAATGGTGCAGGGCAGCTTTAAAGTGTGTGTTTGTGACTAGGTGGTTGTGTCAGTTGAGATTTATGACTCTCAGATAAAGCGTGGCGGATGAATGAAGACTCTCTGAGGGATACTCTGAAGAGACGTCTCACTTTACCACTTGCCAGTGTGATTCTGTGAGGAGAAAAAAGAGGTCATACAACTGAATGAAAAGGCACTGAGTTATACCACATAGGTATGGGTAAATGATTCATGATCACCGTGATGTAGCTGCTGACAAAGGAGGGCCGTTTTAGACATAGAAGTATAGCATCAAACAGAAGGAAGACCATTGACAAACTGGAGCACTTTTTAAAAGTGGCGTGACAAGAATAATGATGTAAAAATCATGTGTAAGATTAAGGGAACTGGGTGTGTCAACATTTACAAAGAAACTTGAGGCAAAATACAAAATATGTGAAGGTCATGTAAAAGAGGAATTAGACTTTGTGTAGTTCTAGAAGGAAGAACTAAATTGAGTGAAGGTACAAAAGGATATAACTCAAAACAGTAAAGGGAGAGAGAACCTTCTAAGAACAAAAAGGTGTCCAGCCCTGGAAGATGTGTCTTGACTGGCATAGAACTTACAGATTGAGTAGGTACTTTTGCAGAGGATGTGTGCTAGATGCTGAGGAAAGGTTTCTCGTACTGAATGGAGGTTTTCTTTCCTTTTTTTTTTTTTAATTTTTTAAAAGATTTTTTATTTATTTGCTTGAGACAGAGTGAGACAGAGAACAAGTGAGAGAGCATGAGCAGGGGGAGAGGGAGTGGGAGAAGCAGACTCCATCCCAGAACCCTGGGATCATGACCTGAGCCCAAGGCAGCCGGCTAACTGAGCCACCCAGGCGCCCCCTCAGTGGGGGTTTTCTTTGTTTTTTTTTGTTTGTTTGCTTTTAAACTGAATTATAGATTGGATTTCATCAGTTTTTCCACTAATGTCTTTTTTTTTTTCCATTCCGGGATTTCCATTCCTTGAAGACGGCAAGGATTCAGTCTAGGGTTCCAAATTGCACTTAGTTATGATTTCTCCTTAATTTCCTCCAATCTGTGACAATTCTTCTGTCATTCCTAACAAGGTTGGCTAAATTTAGGGGAAAATGTTATTTTGTTGTTTGTTTTTATTTATATTTTTGTCAGGAGCATTTTTCAATATTATTTTCTAAATTTAACCAACCTTGTTTTTATGGTAGAAGAATGTTAATTTTTACCTTTTTTATTATAATTGTATGAACTATCTGTGGCTAGATAAATTAGGGACTACCTGTTCACTTTATAAAATAAGTTACTTCAGGAATTCTTTCAATAGTTCCTGTAACCACATGGGGAATTCAATTTTATATTCGCCATTGGTTGAAGCAATAAAAAATAAATGTAAAAATTCTCTTTTAGTATGTGGTTTTCCTTTTTAGTAGGAGAAAGCTAATACACTTTCATATGTTGGCTGTCCTGCTGCAGAAGTCCTCTCTACATACATAGAAAGTAAGTACCGGCATTATTGGGTACTAAAATATCTTGCTCCCTAAAGGGTAGATAGTTGTCTGGCCTTGCTGCTGCCTCAGCCGGCTTATCATAGAAGACCGGTTATCTCCCTAAGATGGGTTTTGTACCCTCTTACCCCTTTTCATTTTTCAGAAGAGACAAAAAAGGACTAGCTAGTGAGATAATAGGAGAGCCAAGAGCAAGTGAACCCTAGAAGCCAAGTGAAGAAAGTTTCAAGGAGATAGTACCTAAATGTGTGCTAAGTACTGGGAAGATAGACTTCACAGAGCCTATATTCTAATGAGATCTAGGCAACAAACAAAATTAAATATTTAGTATGTCAGATGGTGATAAATGCTATGGAAGAATATAAAACAAGGCAAGAGAGAAAGAGGAGGTCATGGTTGAAGAATGGAATGCTTGAAATTGAGTTATATTATGGATGCAATCATAGTAAAAGTTAGATCAGAGTATATACAAGAGAAAAGACTACTGAGGTGTAGGGTAGAGGACATGATCATGGAATAAGAAGTTGGGACTGAGAGGCAGGGATATTGAAATGATCATCTAGTGAATCTCGAAATCACCAGATTTATGAAAAAGTATTGTCATAAGGAGGAATAATGAGCCAAGATATTTGTAAACAGTGAGGGTGAATGCCCTGGCGACAGGTGTGTGGTAGTTTCTAGACAACTGCAGCAAGGAGTTTTGAGTATTAGAATTAAATATAATTAGATCAAAAGCTGTTCTGGCCATGATGGAATAGTAGGAACTGGATTTATCCTTCAATTTTCAACCAAAAACAAAAAATTAAAGTATATGAAACAGTTTTCAGACATTGGACAACAGGCAGGGCAGGGTGGTGATCCCTATGAACACCATGAAAGAATTTCCAGGTATCAGTGTAGAGATGGGGAGCCCAGACTGAGTGCTGCAGTTTCCCTAGGTTGAGGAGACAGTTGAGAATTGCAAGAGACCAACTTAGCTAGAATTCTTAGGGTGGAGTACCAGAAAGGAAAAGAGCTTTACAGAAAGTTCTAGATCTACAGGGAGTTTCTACAGATCAGTCTTCAGCTGATAACCAATCAGCAGATACATGTGAGGAAACTACCAAATGCTGGAAAAAGGAGCAGCAAAAAAAGAATAGGCAGAACAATTCCCAAAGTTCACACAAAGCTAGGAATAGTTCACATTCCCAAGGTCAGAAAGGGAAAACCTCAAAATACAGAAGAGATTGGGTTGAAAACTCATAGGGGCATTGCCTCAGTAGTAAAGACAAAAGAACCCTAGGCTGAAGAATGCTCTGGTTTCACCTAATAAAGCTTAAAAGTATGCCTCAGAAAGATCAAAAGTAACTCAGCTGTATCTCACAATATTGTTCACAAACATTTAAAGAAATGCAAAAAAAAAAAAACCCATCATCCAACAAGGAATTCCTGACATCAAAATAAAAATTTGCTAAGCATGCAAAGAAGCAGGAAAATACAACCGATAAAGAGGAGAAAAACAATGAATAGAAACAGATCCCCAGATGGCGCAAATGATAAATTAGTAGACAGGAACATCAAAACAACTACTTTATATATTCTATATATTTTCAAGAAGATAGAAGAAAGCATGAACATGTTAGGGCGAGACACAGGAAACATAAAAAGACCGATATTAAATTTCTGTAGATGGAAATGCAATCTGACCAAAAAAAAAAAGGTGTATAGGACAGGATTTAATAGCAGAGTAGACATTGCAGAAGAAAAGATTAGTGAACTTGAAGACGGCAATAAATACTATCCAAAATGGAAGAGAGGGGGGCAAAAAAGACTAAAAAGAAACAAGCAAAAACACCAGCATCAGTGAGTTGTGGGACAGTTTTAAGTGACCTAATATACATGTAATTAGGGATCCAGAAGCAGAAGAGAAAAGTAAGGGAAAGGCATAGAGTGAGATGAGAGAGGGCCCCCCAAATTGAAGAAATAATGGCAGAAAAATTCCGTATCTATAAACCCACAACTCTAAGACAAGAATCCTAGCAGAAGAAACATGAAGAAAACTACACTGAAGCACATCATAACCATATTGCTTAAAACCAGAGAGAATCTTAAAAGCATCGAGAAAAGAGACTGAGGAACTTTAGGGAGGAGGAAGTGACAGTGATCTGGAAGTATTGGGGGAGCAGTGTCATGGGGGGAGAGGTTTTGGTGGGATTAGGAAGGTAAAGAGAACATTTGGAGAAGGGCTTCAGAATGTAGGGATTCCACGGATTCCCTGATTGTGAGCCCTCCAGCAGGCACAGTGGAAAGGTTTCAGGAGTTGGGGAAGCTGTAGAGATGAGTTCAGATTAGGGGATATATGAAGCCAGATTTGTATAGGGATGACCTGTGAATCTTGGATCTCCCAAGCCTGATGTAGACAGAAAAAAAAACAGGCACAATATGATTGTTCCTGGTGGTCTCCAAAGCAGTTTGGGGTGGCAAGACTGTGGCTTTTGGGGATAGGGAGACTGGAGGTCTCCTCACCAAGAACAGAGCTCATCTTCTCTCCAGTTGATGGAAGTATGGAGCCTGAGAACAAACAGTCTTACCAGATGAACTTTATGACTATAATTAATTTCCCATGCATCCACTATGAATGTGTGTGTGTGTGTTCCAATTAACTTTGCATCCTGATTTTTTAAGCACACCTGTTGTAGAGATGCCATTCCTGTACCAAATATGTTCCCAGCAAAGGAGTGATTTCATCCATGGGAAGGAAGCTTCCTGCAGTGTCTGTGCCATGTTTGAATAGAATTTATTTTTATTTTCAATCATGTTTGGTTTTCTGAAATTGTTCTAATACCTTTCATCAGATGGTTTTTGCACTCAACATCCTAGTACTGTAATCACTTGGGATCTGTTTATTTACATAAAAGTACTAGATGTCTCATAGGCTTATTTTCCTGGAGTCCTCATACCTTTTCTTCCCGAAGTCAGTTGATGTTATTTTGATTACATGAAATTATAGAGTCCTGCCTTGTTGAGATTCAAATGAGATAAAGAAAACATTTTATTCAGAATTGAGCATCATCTGGGGTGGATTAAGTAATACTTGGCAACAATTAAAAATAAGCAAGAAAGCCACAAGCTGTACCTGTGAGGTTGCTTTAATAATCAGCTTTTCACAACTTCTTTATTATGAAATGTATATATTTAGCTGTTATATTATCATTTATTTGATAAAAGCTATAATTGAGTAGAAAAGCGTGCCAGCCTTTAGCAGTAATAATAGGAAACTGGGTTATTTGGACTATATGGTCATAAACAACGCCTCACTGCTTAGTTGGTGGCTGCTTACCTTAATTACAAACCAAATACTTAGGAAAAAAATAAATATGTAGAAGGTAAAGCCTTATAGTCCCAAATCTGTAACATTTTAATCAGTATCTCATAAGACACCCCATATGTAAACCTTGTAAGAACAACACTTTGCAAGTTTAGCATATTTATGACCGAGTGTAATTTATTAATTACACTCTATTTCCCATGGCTATAATATGGGTTTAAAATTTGCATTCTTTTAGTAGAAGCAGTAAATGAGCAGTATGTATGCATTACTTCTTACTGGGAAGCACAATTTTCTATGATATTCCTTCTGCCAAATTGTATTAATCATATTCAAATCATTTAAGAATATTATAAAGCTAACTCAGTTCATATCACAAATTATCTTCAATGTGGCATGTGTGTGCCTGATCCAGATCTCAAGTTTATTTTCCTTGCTAAGTTTAATCTGCATAATTATAGTTTTGTTGACTTTCAATTTCCTTGGTTAAGAAGCAAAATTCAGCTGAGTAAATTTAAAGATCTTACTGGCTCTATTCAACGATTCATGAATCAGGCAGGATCTCATCTAGCATATAGAAAGGAGTTCCAAGGGCTGTGCAAAATGAAAGACTTTTACAGGCAGAACGGAGTGGGAACAAGGAAGTTTTACTAGCAAAAGTGGATTGCTTGTGGCAAGGTCATTTTCCTTCAGGGGACAGGAGGGGGTCTGTCAGGCAGATTACCTCACTAGCACTGATTGATTAGATTAGTGTTCCATTTCTGGGAGAACCAAAACTGAAATTAAGTCAAGGCAGTTTGGTGACATGAGACTTAGCATGAGCAACTCCATTTTGGGCCTGTTGTCTTGTTTTTAACACCTTCAAGCAGAAAAGCCCTTTGAAAACCAAAATACTTAACTATTCCCTGCTGTCAAAAAAAAGAAAGCCCTGGGAAAAAAAGAAAAACTTAGATTTAAAAATTTGCATTCAGTCTATTCACTATGAAATGGTTTCCATGAGGCTTTGAATTTGGGAGAAATTGGAAGAAATGTTGCCACTTCTGCCACACGCTCAGTATGAGCCACCTGTGTGATGTGGCTGCCACAAACAGGTGGTATTAGTTTAGTAGTAACAGAAGTGCAGCATTCCAGCAGTAGGAATTTATAATCCCATTAAACTACTCTGCCATACCTAGAATATTGTGTCTATTTTTGATTGCCTTATTTTAATATTTTTATATTCTCTTTTACCTTGTTATCCATGTGACTGACTATTGGCACACATTTTTAAAATAATTGATTATATTTGAGATAGAAAGGGAAAAGCTATTTGATCCATATTAGAAAGTCCTAAGCCATGCCTTTTTTTTTAATGGTATCATTCTATAAATTGAAAGCCATCTGATAAGTCAAGAAAAATAAAAAGACCATTGTTGTATTCATAGTCAAAGGGTTCTAAAGGACCACCTCATATAACAAGCATTAGTTTGTCCTGCTAATTATATAAAATACATAATTGGCCAGTTGTCATTTTTCAAGAAAATTTAAAGCCATGATATATCTACATTAAAAAACTTTTTAGGGGCAGTTTAGAGTTTTTGCAGCTTGCATTTGAAAACTGGAAATTTTATAATGGAAGTATAAAACAAAAGTAGCTAGTCCTTTAAAATTATCTTCTATATTTTTTACTGTTATATATGAATAAAACATTGTAGCCATTCATTTTGAAAAACTGGACCTAATGGATCTTCTTTGATGTGATCATTCAAGTTTTCTATTAAAGTTAGAATCCTTTCATTTTTAGCATGGAGAGGTTTTTTTCCCCCATGTATGGAGTTTTAGCAAAAAGCTAAAATACTGGAATATAATATCACTGTGATTGAGTAAAACAATCTTTGCTCTTAACACTGGACTTACATGAAAAGAATGTAAAAAATAACCCAGATTTTTTTTGTTTCCTCCTAGGTCTTCGGGTAACAGTGCTTCTGACATCCTTCCTTATGGTTTTGGGAACTGGTCTAAGATGCATACCTGTATCAGACTTAATGCTTAAAAGAAGGTAAATTCTATAAATAACTTAAAATTTTTTCCCACATTTTTCTTCATTACGAATATATTAAATATGTTTGGTTATAAGCTTTTAGTAAATGGTTCCATTTTTTTAAATAATTTTTTTTAAAGATTTTATTTATTTGAGAGAGAGAGAGAGAGCGCACACAAACAGGGGAGAGGGAGGAGCAGGTAGCCTGATGTGGGGCTCGATCCGAGGACCCTGGGATCATGACCTGAGCTGAAGGCAGATGCTCAACTGACTGAGCCACCCAGGCGCCCCTAAACGGTTCCATTTTTAAGAGGATCAATAGAGGGTCATAGTTAAATTAGCATTTATTTTTTTTCCCTACATAATGATTAATTCAGTAGACATTTATTAATTGTCATATGGAAAATGACTATACTAATTTTTGTGTAAATAGAAAAAGAACAAGTTAATCTTCATGCTATCTAGGAGCGATAATAACCACGGGAAAATAATGGTATAACGTAAGGAAGAATAATGTAGCTAATGCAACAGAAGGGGTATAAAACTGTCCTGAGACACTGAGAGAAGTTTCAGCTGAGGGTATCAAAAAGAGTTGATGAAGGAGGTGATAATTAAAGTAGGCATTGAAGGATGAGTAGAACTGGGATTATATAACTGCAGTTACCAAAGAATATTCCAGAGAAGAGGAATAACAGGAACAAAGGCATAGAGGCAGGTAGGCATAGACCTCGTCTGGGATGGTTAGGTAATTTCATTTGTGTACAGCAGCATTTCTGCACCTGGGTCTGTGGATTTATTCTCAGAGGGTACAAGGTATATGAAGATTTTAAAGTTTTGTTTTCCTTTTGGTTAGAATATTACTAAAATTATTTTACCAGTAATAATCTGTAATTAAAAGACATTTTTATTGACTAGAATGTCATTTTCTTAAATTAGTGTTTCTCAAACTGGGGTCCTTGGATGTGATCCTGAAGGTCATTGAAAAATTTTTCCTCTTTAAAAAGGATCCATGGGGGTACCTAGGTGGCTCAGTCAGTTAAGGGTCTGCCTTCGGCTCAGGTCATGCCTGGCAGGGAGCCTGCTTCTCCCTCTCCCTCTCCTGCTCTACCTGCTTGTTCTCTCTCTGTCTCTCTCTCTGTCAAATAAATAAAATCTTAAAAAAAAAAAAAAGGACCCATAAATTATTCAAATTTGGGAGATACTCGTCTACAGGTTAAGGTATAAAAATGGGATATAAATAGATGAGTTTAGAAAAGGTTATCCAGATTATGGATAGATTTAGAAAAGATTATCCAGAGGGATCTTGATGCCATCCTGTAAAATTGTGTTTTCTTCACTGGGCAGTTGTGAGCCACTTAGTTCTTGTGGCTTAGAGCAGCAATAAGATCTGACCTGTGTTGGGTAAACTACTGATTTGAGGTATATAGGATTGATTACAGAAGGTAGAGATAGGGGCGCCTGGGTGGCTCAGTCGTTAAGCGTCTGCCTTCGGCTCAGGTCATGATCCCAGGGTCCTGGGATCGAGCCCCGCATGGGGCTCCTTGCTCAGCGGGAAGCCTGCTTCTCCTTCTCCCACTCCCCCTGCTTGTGTTCCCTCTCTCACTGTGTCTCTCTCTGTCAAATAAATAAATAAGTAAATCTTTAAAAAAAAAAAAAAAAAAAAAAGTAGAGATAGCTGGGAGGAGACCAGGAAAGAAGTGAGAGCCCAAACTGGAATCATTTTTTATTTGTTTATTCATTTATCAGTTCACTTACTCAGCAAAATTCACTGAGCTCCTACTGAGTGCCAAGCTCTCTTCTGGACATGGGGAACACAGCAGAGAACACCAAAGACAAATCCTTGCCTCTTGGAGTTTACATTCTGGTTGGGGAGACTTGCAATAAACCAGATAAATAAATAAAATATGTAGTATGTGTTATAGAGAAAAAATAAAATAGGAAAGAAAGATCTGAAATGTCAGGGGAAGGATGGTGAAATTTCAGAAAGAATGCCCCAAGAAAACAAAAAACAAACCAAAAAAACCTTACTGGGAAGATAACTTTTTGGGGTAAGAACCCAAAGGAATGGACCATGCATTATCTGGGGGCCAAGCATTCCAGGCAGAACAGCAAATGTAAAGTGCTGGAAGGGAAGAGCTCTCCTGGCAGGGAGGTTAATGTGCCTGGAGCCAAGTGAGACAGGAGAGGCTTCGTGGGAAGAGTGATAGGAAATGAGATCAGTACGGTTATGGGGTGGTGGTGGGAGTGTGAGACAAGATCCTTTAAGACCTTAGCTTTTTCTGAGCTGGGAAACCATTGGTGATTTTGAACTGAGGAGAACCCTGGTCACAAGCTGCTTTGTTGAGAATAGACTGAAGCTGGAGGTCAAGGGCAGGAGTAAGAAGACCAGTTGGGGAGCCAGTGCAATAAACCAAGTGAGAGATGATGGGTCTCTGTGGAAAGCTAGTCTTCATTTCCTATCCTTTTGAGTGAAGTCTTAACAGATGAGTTTCATTATTGTGTTTGAGATGTTCTTAATTTTTCAAACACGGCATCCACAGTTTTTAAATACAAATTTCAGTAAGCTTAACTTTAATAATGCATTCTTTTAAAATGCCCATTAATATTTTTATTAGCTTTTCTTCTGCTTTGAGCCATCCATACTATTCTCTCTAGTCTTATTTCCCTTTATATCTTTTCCAGATATAAAGCTCTAACAGTAATAAAGAATTGACTCTCTGACTTGGTGAAGAAGGTGATATGGAAAAAAAATAGAGCTCGTAAAGAAATGTAAACAAAGATAGGAGGAGATGAAAGAGAATTACTGAAAGAGTTCAGAGAGATTGAATCTTTGATAAAAAGAGGGCATAAATTGAATTTTCAATCCTCGTGCATTCATCTATAAAGAATGTGGGAATATTATCCCCTTAAAATGAGACTTTGTTTTATGTCCATACAGTATTTCCTTTAAGCAGTATTATTAACAATGCTTATGCAGCTATTAAAATGAAAATGCTACAATTAGAATATGTGTTTTTGACTAGTAAGTTTAATAGATCACCACTTTTAAGCTTCCATCACCATCTGATACTCAGCAGGAAGGGGTAAAGACCTGTAACATCCATTTGGCCAGCGTTGAAACAAGTATTTGGCAATCTGTGTTTTTGTGCCCGTTTTACTTGGAGCTTTTTGAACCTCAGACCCAGCCTTCTGGAATAGTGTCCCTGCACCCTTGGCGTCCTGTATCTTAGCTTCCTTAAGTCTCCAGACATGATAAAAGCAGCTTCTGACAAGCTCTTTCATCAACCAAGACTCTTCTCACCACCTTCCTAATGGTGTTCTATCACTGCATGGTATCAGTATTTCTTTTACCTGCATAGTACCAGTAAAAATCCAGGAAAATTATTTTTCTACTTCTATTTTTCTACATCATAGATAAATGAGGAACTTAGAATAATGAACTTAATTTTTTTTCTTTAATTTTTTTTTTTAAGATTTTATTTATTTATTTGACAGAGAGAGACACAGCGAGAGAGGGAACACAGGCAGGGGGAGTGGGAGAAGGAGAAGCAGGCTTCCCGCCCAGCAGGGAGCCCAACGCAGGGCTCGATCCCAGGACCCTGGGATCATGACCTGAGCTGAAGGCAGACGCTTAACAACTGAGCCACCCAGGCGCCCCAAAATAATGAACTTTAAAGCATTTCTTCTGTGATCGGGAAGCAAATCATACCAAAAAAATTATAAATGTCATTGCTGTATAGCACTGGATGATGTTACTTTGTAGCATGAAATATGATACTGCATGCCCAGTAAACAATTTAAAGATTTCCAGAGGGTGAACTTACAGTAAGATATATGTGCTTTTAACTGTAGGTATATCCAGGGATTCCTGTAACACATGCCATGTTATCTTCTAATTCAGTGTAGTTTCCATTAATATAAATTATAGATAACATTTACTAATGTGTGTTAGTTAAATAGGATGGTTCTAGTAAACATAGATTTTTTTTTTTTTTTAAGAAATATATTCTATTGTGAAATGCTTGCAGCTGGCAAAATTACATTTAAAATGACCATACCAGGGGCGCCTGGCTGGCGCAGTCAGTGGAGCGTGCAACTCTTCATCTTGGTTGTGGGTTTGAGCCCCACGTTGGGTGTAGAGATTACTAAAATAAAACCTTTTTAATTAATTAAAAAAATAAATAAAATGACCATACCGGAAAAGGTTGTTTAATACATGGTTTTATGATAATTGCTTAACTATCTGGGGACAAAAAAATGAAGAAAAACCTTAAATCTCTGTCTTACCATTTAAGTAAATTCCAGTTGGGTCAAAAATTTTAATGTAAAAAATGAACCATAAAAGTGTTAGATAATGAGGCTATTTTTCAATAATCTGACAATGAGGAAGACCTTTCTACTAAAACGCAAGTCCGAGAAGCCATAGAAGAAAGGCTTCATACATTTGACTACATAAAAAATTTAGAATATCGGGTGGCTCAGTCAGTTAAGCATCTGCCTTTGGCTCAGCTCACAATCCCGGGGTCGTAGGATCGAGCCCCGCATCAGGCTCCCTGCTCAGCAAGGAGCCTGCTTCTCTCTCTCCCTCTGCTGCTCCCCCTACTTGTGATCTCTCTCTCTGTCAAATAAATAAATAAAATCTTAAAAAAAAATTTTAGAATATCTGCATGATTAAATGTACTATAAAACAAAGTCAAAAGACAAGTTAAAAGCTGGGAAATATGTGCAGCAATAAAACAAATGGGTAATTTCCTTTTTTTTTTTTTTTTAAAGATTTTATTTATTTATTTGAGACAGAGAGAATGAGAGAGAGCACATGAGGGGGGGAGGGTCAGAGGGAGAAGCAGGCTCCCTGCTGAGCAGGGAGCCCGATGCGGGACTCGATCCAGGGACTCCAGGATCATGACCTGAGCCGAAAGCAGTCGCTTAACCAACTGAGCCACCCAGGCGCCCCCAAATGGGTAATTTCCATAGTTGAAAAGAATTTCTTCAAATCAATAAAAGATAGCAACTTGGTA